GGTGGCTTAATTTAAATTACCCGAATCGTTGGATAGGTCGCGGCAATGAGGCACCTATCTCTTAGCCTGCACGTTCTCCCGATCTAACGCCCATGGATTTTTTCTTTTGGAGACATAAAAAGTATTGTTTATGCGACCCCAGTTGACAGTGTTGAAGAGCTACAGGAAAGAATATTCGCGGCGGCTGATGAGATTTGCAACAATCCCATAATTTTTGCTCGAGTCCGTAATAACTTTGATAAACGTGTTAAGTTATGTTTAGAAAGAAATGGCAATCATTTTGAAAATGTCTTAACTAAATTTTTTGTTTTTTCTCTTTTTGATAATAAATTATTTCTTAGTTTCGTTTTCATTGTACTTCTATTTAATAAAAGTTTCTGCGACATTCAAACAGTTATTTGTGCAACCACTGTAGAGAGTGTGTATTTGTTGTACGATGCATGAAGTTTGCAGCTCGAGATGAAGTTGAGAGCTGCAATCATGTTAAATGCAACAAATGTGCTTTTTGCACATGTTGCACGCAACATTTTTTCTACGATTGTTTTTATTTCAAATTTTATTTAACAGTATTTTACATAATATTAAAATTTTAACTGACAACTGGAAATTAATTGCGCAAATTGTCAATGTCAGACGTTAGGTATTTATGGATATGCTTAGATTAAACTTGTAATCAATATTTTTTTTTACTACTGTAAAAAAAGTTAAACTTTTGGCACAGTAGGTAGTGCAATAAGTAGTAAATTTTGCATGATCGTAGAAAAAAACACTTGTAGCATGTCCTCATATTCATCATTAGTAAAATTTGGCATAATTCTTGTTAATTTGAAACCCAAAAAGTATTTAGCTGATAACAGTGACAACTTACAGAGGAGTTAATTGTGACAACTGGCATGACAGCAGCACACTTAGTTTTTCTTTGATTGATTGCAATCATATACGGTGTGAGGTGAATAGTAATACATTTTATTTTTTATTAATAAACGAAAACTTTTAAAGGAAAATTGCTAGAGAGGTTAAAGTTTCTAAAAGAACCAGTTTATCTAATGCGTATTTTTGGATATCGATTTTTACGAAATATAAAAGTTATGGCAAAAAATGGCTTGAGGGGTGGTTATTTCAACCCATTTCGAGGGATTAAAATTTTCGAAAAATAATTGAAAACTCGTATCTGTATTAGTAAACAACCTGAACAAAATTTGTTATTTGTACCTCGTTCGGTTTTCAAATTACATCCAATTTTCATAATTTTTTTGGAAATTTTGATGGCCCATATCTCATTTTACTTAGGCGATTTTTTGCAGATCGTGTTCTTTTGAAATGTAGATTCACTGGTATCATTTATGCTGCTCCATTCAAAAACACCCTGTATATATACATACATTTTTATAATTCAAGGTATAAAATCTCCATAAAGACATTGTTGGTTACAGAATAACGTCGCGGACGGATGAAACATCCAAAGTGGATTCATCCGGAACTCATTTTATGTTGTACGGGAAATGAAATACTTATTTAATTTATAATGACTTCAAGTGAAATTGCAGTGCAGGTTGGAGTTTGAATATTCTTCAGCTCGTCTACGATTTCCCTAAGGATTTGTCCCCTAAAATTTGATTTTTATATTTTGTTTTACTAATCGATTATTATTTACATGCAATGCAGTGAATGTGATGTTTACATATTTTCATTTTAAGTTGCATTCACTAGGATCCTTCCTGGATGAAATAAAATTACAACAGATTTTACTTGTATTTATTTTTCATCCCACTTTCGATGATTTATTGTTTATATGTTCATTTTCTAATCACGATAGATGATGATCATTTAAAGTGACTTGTGTATATGCACTTTTATATTTAACATTCACGTAGATACCAGTTGATAATTTATTTACGTTCACGTCACACATATTGCAAAAAATCAAATTTTAAAAAACTCAAAATAGAGAATTTGAGAAACTGATTTAGCTTTTGTGTGTGATTTATAAGAATATTTAGGAAAGAAAGAACTTAATTATAGGAAAATTGGTGTATCGAAGCTACGTAGGTATCTGTAAGCAATAAAAATACCATCGTACATTAGAGTTGGATATCCAATATAGGTACATATTAAAAAACAATCGGCATAGTGCAACGCTCTTTGGATTATTGATGAAAGGCCATACGTTGTGTATATTATATATATAATATACGGGATGTTTCAAGTTTGATACATGTGGTGAGTATCTAAAGAAAGATCGGCCAATAAATATGGTATTTCAAATAACTTATCTGAAACCTATAAGATATTTTACCAAATTTGCCACAACATAAGTTTATATACGACGGTGCGCCCCCACATCTTACCTTAAACCCCCAAACCATTTTGAAATAGATAGATCGGTAGAAGAAATGAAACTTCTAAGGATTGGCCATCACACTCACGGGATCTCATCGTTAGATTATTTTCTAAGCGGAACTTTAAAATGGTATACCCTACATCTGTAAACACCGAAGGAGAGTTCAGTACAACTTTCTTCGACGAACTAATGTTTGTCTTGGAGATAGGGGGAGTTATTTTGAACATCTACTGTAAGTAAATTGAATTAACTTACTCCATTTCCTATTTTTCTATCGATCTTTTCATTTACATGTACCTGTCATTGGGAACCTATTGGTCTTTAATTTTTTTTTATTATTCGCTCGTGGGCACACGCTCTAAAATGTTGGAACTAGTTTAGCCAATCTTCAGTCTTGATAAATTAGGAAGCAAGGCAATAAGTTTATGAAATGAAACCTTTAAATCCAAATATCTAAAGAAACGGTTGTTCAAAGCGATATTTACTAGGTATATATTTTTTTAAGAAAAAACATCGGATAATAAGAATTTTTTATTAAAAATTTAATAAACCAGGGCACAAAAAAGCTATGTCAATTTAAATGCATGTAAGGTTGGTACTCCAGGTGGTGCCCTCTAATGATTTACAGCAAATTCGAGACCAAATTTCAATTCCTCATACCAGTTAACTCTCCTATAATTAGTTTTGTGTATTTACCACAATGAACAATGGAGTTGAAAAAAAAACTAAAATAAAATTGAATTAAATCATCATATTTTGGAATATGTGGTAGAAGGTTGTCCAGACCTTTTAGAGACACCCTTTACGAGTATAACTGGAAATTGTTTAGCTTTATGTTATAGTTGTTTATGACATTCAAAACTTATTGGCAATGATATTCATTTAATGACGGACTTTACAAAGTTGTTAAAGTTTTTCTTTATGCTAAAACTAATTAAATTAAACTTATAAATTACATTATTTTATCCTACAAATAATTTGTATAATTAAAATGTACAGAATTTTACAAAATCGTGTTTTGAAGTTGGTCAAAAAATTGCTACAATACCTTTCCAGAGAAAGTCGCGCAAATTTTGCTCATAAGAGTTTTCTGAGTGTGGAAACTATTTCTAGTCACTATTAGATACTTTATAAATTACAATTATGGAAGTGTTTCCACTTCCACATGAAATTTCTGCTGGTATAAATATCCGCTTTCCTTCCTTTTAATTAAAATCTATTTAAAGTAACGAGTGAATTACTAACTCAGAACTGAAATTAAAAGATTTTCATTTTAATACTACAAAAATATACGACGTCGGAGATGTACATTTAGGTGTTGAAGAGTTACGTAATCAGAAAGGTTTATTAAAATTTTAAGGGGACGCTCGGAAATATCAGAAGCAATTAACGGAAAGTAGAAACGGAACTGTAAGGGACGTAAAAGTTGACAAATTACGTCAATTTGGTGTGTTTTATAAGAGCAAAGGAATGTAACTTACACTTTGAACTTTGTTGGCTTGACAAATCTCGAAAGTTACTTTTAACGTTATATCTAAAGTATTTC